TGAGGTGTTCGCACGAAGAGCTTGACGTGAAGATCCTTCACGGAAACTCAGCTTTTTACATCCTTTTCGCGATACCCTTTGGCTGTTTGCATCTCACGATGAATCTGTATTACTTACCTATTATCAAAATCATATCTGCCACATCTTCTTCTCAATATACAAAAAGCCACAGCTAGCCCCACATCTCATCATATTCACTCCCCTTAAACTCCGCTCTTACTTTTCGCTTCTCATTCATGACCCACTCATCATCACTTAACCAAAAATTACAATAAAAGACGAAATAGTAGCTTGAAAGCTCCAAAGCTCAAATCTTCTTTCCAAAAACCATCTAAAAGTCTACACTTTCTCAGGGAAAAAAGTCATGAAAAAAAAATGAACTGACAAACATGGCAAAAGAAATCTCACTCCCGGGCAAGTGAGACCCAGAAACCTTGCAAATCGTTGTCTGTGGCAATGAACATCCAAGTCGAAGTTACAGAAGCAATTCAAGGTGGCCAGCCAAGCTAACCACTGCACCATCAGTCAGGATGTTTCATTGAGAGGACGTAATTGTTTGGAATTGTATATCAAAGGGACAGATTCACTATTGAAATTTGGTGGGGTAGGGCGGTTGACCGATTGCGAATTAGAAAATAGGACAATGCGGTTAGTTTGACTTGGAGAATGGTTTATGAGGCATTTCTGATGTTGTTGTAATCTATGTAGCTCTAGGCCGTTGCGTGATACCTTCCAGTTAATAGCTCTCAGTCCTCGTAGAGAGGAAACTTTTGCGCATATTGTAAACCTCTATAATTGAGTAGTCACATTTATCCAGAGTCGCAGAACTTCGGGCTCAGCACTACTCCCTTTCTATAAACTCAATATAAATAGTAGTGGCCAATGATTTCATTCCAAATTAAACTTGCATCGCTCGACGATTACTTCGTAGCATTGTGGAACTGGTATTTGACAAGAACTGATTGCACTGCATTGAATAGCGGAATGAATTTGTGTGTGAGCTTTGTCTGGAATACTTCACAGGTGCTTCAACAACTGACTTCTGATATTTTAAACCCTTATTGTCGAGAGAAATAGTCACTATCGCAAGGAAGAACGCAGTGGAATTTTTGATTCCTACAACATATTTTACTGTCGCTCACCACCCGCCTTCCTTTTCGCCGCCATAAATATTCATTGATAAGTTCGCCATATCTAAACATCGTTTATGGTCAAGTTTTCTTCCTTAGATCTATCTGCCTTATATAAAAAGTCCTTCTTGCTTCTGGTAGACATCTTTTGGTACATACGGAGGCACGTCGCTCAGTTTGAAGGGGGTTTGATGCTTGGATATTACCATGAGAGTCCCTATTTATTCACATTTTAGATGAATTTCCAGGAGTCTATGTGAGAACCAAATAATGTGTAGTATGGAACGGACGCCAATACACAACAATTTGTAGGCATTTAAGTCATTACAAGTGAATACTCTCACCGATCTATTATGAAAGGAGAAAAAAACCATGATTCTACACTCCAACGCTCAATATACTGCCTCATCTACTTGTATAGTAGAATTGGATTCCCCAGATTTCCCTCGCCCGAAATGTAAATCATCTTTTACCCCGTTATTCCGTTTGTCAACAATTAGATCGTCCCAGCCCGAATATTAATGAATGAGCAATGTGTTACTACGAGGGATTTGTATTCAAAAGCGGAGAGATGAAGTACCGTCTATTCCCCTAACCTCATATTCCAGAACCAGAATTTCTCGGTGAGATCCTCACTGCTTCAATAACAATTCTCTCAGTCTCATTGCCAATATTAGATAAGAGACTAGGTAAATACATTTCATCTTCACCGAAAAGTTTTCATCGCCGATCTATTTTCCTGTTGTTCACGGAAGCTAATCAAATTATCATATCCACTTGATTTTCCCCTCCATACTCGATATTCACACCTGGCATGACAACTCCACACTTCTCAAACCAACCCCCATACCTTGGCAATGAAGTTTCACTTTGCTGCTTCTATTTCCTCTGCAAATCTGTGCGCACTAGTGGAAGAATGCTATTAAGACGATTTTATACCTACAATCCAAAAATTTCGGGCGTGAGGTGTGTAAGTAATGACTCAATGTATTCATTCTGCGACTAACATTGTACTAGATGATAGACATCCGCTTGAGAATTCGCTTAACATATCCGTAACCTTATTTCACATCTCTTCAAGTTCCACAATCCACACTATTGTACAAATATCAGCCACCTGCAGTGTTCACTCCAGAAATAAATGCAAGTCTTATAAAATGAACAGACCATTTCAATGTCTGGACCTTGTGGATATGGAGGAACGTATACACGATACTCACAATTTGTTTGATCCTTGGAGGGTGGAGGCGAAAGGTGTGAAGAAGATATGAATGGTTTGGGTGGTAGGGAAAGTTTGTTGACGGTCAATATTTGACTCTACTTCTGTCGAAATATATGGATTGACTTTGCAGTCAATAGTCAATAGTCTAGTTGTCTCTAGCTCTCACTATCGATTTATCTATCCCCGCTGTCACAAATCTACCACCTTCCCCTCTTCCCCCTATCACCAACGACCTTGTCCTCAAATCTATCTCTGAAATATATCCCACTCTCAATCCCCACAGCTCTATCTCCGCAGAAGTCTCCGAGCTCACGAAACGCCACCTTCGGCATCTGGTGACCAAGCGATCGTTGAAGTTATGGATGGATAACCAGTTTGATGAGAACATCTATACTTCCCAAACAAGTTTCCTTCGAAGTTTAGCATGATTTACATGGAAAAGTGAATTAAAATGATATCAATAGTAGGAAATGGGTACCGTGTGAGCATGATTCAATGATATTCTCTATCTGCTGTTATTTTTATTGTCGATTAATTTATCTTGGCCACTCAATATCTACTGCCACCACCACTACCACCGAAGTCTCATCTCATCTCATCTCATTTCATACAGACACTCCTTCCACACCCACCTCCCATAAACTCCCATGCCATTTCAAATCAACAATGTTAACAAATGCTTTAGATCTCATCGCCACACTTCGCAGCATGAGAAATCTTCCATATAAAATCTATTCCCCTTCATATCAAAAAGAATCTAGATCCCCCAGTTCCTTTCTTTATATATCCTCCGTGCTCACTTTCCACACATGCAAACTCCATGACGAATCCACTCTACCAGCCTTGTATGATTTATAGCTTACCACTCAGCATTCCATGCAGCGCCTTCACAACTGTTTTCCTCACACTCTGGGTCTCTAAGTCTCAATCCATTCACTAACCCACATCACACCATCTCACACCAACCTCACTCCCATCACACTCTCCATCAAGATCAACAGAAATTATAACCCCAACGGACTAGAAGACCTAGGATTGCGTACCGTAGTATTCTTCACAATCGTTAACTTAACTTAAGTAGCTAAACACACTCATGAATCACACTCTTCATTACTTTCAGTAAAGATAACCTTCCCTATACGCGGTTTATTTCAAGCTAGAAGGTAGAAGTAATGATATTATATGATATGATGTAAACGAAATAAATCAATCTATTAGAATATGATATAGGTATCTACAACCATCAAGATATCAGATCACCATTTCTAGCGGATTAAATATCTTCATTGCCGTGTTCCCATTAGTAATTATTACTATTATCACATTGCATCACATCTAATATTTCTACTATCATCATCATCACCAATCTAATACTTGTCACTACTTCCTGCGTCAATTCCCCATCGCAAAGCACCAATCCTCTCGTCTCATTTCCAGGCCTCTTGAACCTCTCTCCAATCAATCAACCAAACCAAACCAAACCAAACCAAACCAAACCAAACCAAACTAAGCCTTCCTTCCTTCCTTTACTCCTCTTTCTCCTCGCCATCCTGACTATAACCTCAATCTCAATCTCAAACACCCTCACCATCACCCTCACCCTCATCTTTCCATTCTCATTCCCATTTTCATTCCCAACCATCCGTGTTCATTCAAACCTTACCCATATTCTTACCCATCCGAATTTCTAGAGTATGTAGCTCCCCTACTCCCTCTACTCCCTCTACTCCCTCTACTCCCTCTACTCCCTCTACTCCCTCTACTCCCTCCCTTCTTCCTCCCTCCTCCCTTTTCCCAATTACCAATTATCATTCAACTCAAATCTCAAATAATATATATATATATACATATCTGCAAATGCGTTCATCCATATATCACTTCACACCCACCCTCACCCTAACACCAAAATCCACATCAACACCATCAAAATCCCAGATCGAAATCCAGATCCAGATCTCCCTCATCCCATCCCACCCTCATCCCATCCCCATCTTCATCAAGAACCACAAACAAAGCATCAGACATCGTAAAGGTAAAAAATGAAAGAAAAAAAGAGAAAAGAAACCTGCAACTCACTGATTAGCTCCTTAAAGTGTATTGATTTCTTCCTTCAGGTTCGAGAAGTGATGCAGAGTCGCTATTCCCCTTCTCTTCGGAGGCAATGAGAACGAGATATAAATACCAAGCAAATACTCAATAAAAATCAATCTGAATACAAAGAAGCAAGAGAACAAAAACAATAACATAACTTCACCAGAAAAAAACTTCAAACGAACCAAACATAAAGTAGTGAAGAATTGTATAATATATAAATCCAACCTAGATAGCTCTAGCTAATCAATCATGTGTGCTGATCCGCTAGATCATAGCATCACAAGGCACAAGGCACAAGGCACAAGTATGTCCTCTTCAATTATCGAAATCGAAATGTCGAAAGGTCGAAAAGTCCACCGCATAGCGCCACATGTATTTATGTACTGTATGATATATATATGCCACACCCATCCAACGCCCATTTGCCTGTCCGTCCATCCATCCAGCCATCCATCCAGCTAAAAGCAAATTGATCTTCTATCAATCCCAAGTATTGATTTCGCACACTGGTTATTTTGTAATTTTATTCTTTCCTCTTGGCGGAAACCTCTTCATTAAGATTCAGCCTCAACCTTCTTCTTTCTTCCTCCCTTTCCCTTTCCTCTTCCTTTTTTCTTCGGTTCACCCGCATCCACTTCCGGCTCCACTTCACTGTCACTCCCCTCTTCCTTTTTCGCCGCCGATGCCTTTCTCTTCTTTCCCTCTCCATCCTTCTCCTCCTTCGCCGCCGGCACAACCTCTTGAACCCTCCCCACAATCTCACTCAAAAAATCAAATTGATCATTTTCCTCCACCACTCTCTTCAGACAACCTGCCGTAACTCTTTTTCCTCCCTTCTCCCTCGCCACTTTTGCCGCGCCTTGTACTAACGATATCATGAATAGTTCTAACGCTTTCGATACCGCGACCGGAGTAACTTGCGCGACTTTGCCTACTTCTTCATCGGCTTGCATTATACGTTTGATGCGGGCGACAGGGAACTTTGTGCGGATTTCTATTCCATCTGGATTTGGATTTTTATTCGAAGGAGGAGCCGCGGGGGGTTGAGGTGCTATGGCGAAAGACATCTTGGGTTGGTATTGAGGAGTGTGAGATTGATTGAATGAAGCGGTGGTAATGGGTTGAGATTTGACGTGTGATTGACGAGGTTGTCGCGTTGTTGTATCCAGTTGATTTGTATATGATTCGTGATAGAGAGGATTTTGAGGGTTATTGTTGTACTGATATATCTCTACTGGATCATTGCCCAGCGTGAATGGTGAAGGGATGCGATGATCGTAAGGGGATTGAGTAGATAATGTCGCTTCGGTATTGTGAAATTGATCGAGATATTGTGAATGAGGTTGTGGTGGTTGTGGTTGTGGTTGTGAATGAGAAGAAGCGGAAGAAGAAGAAGAAGAAGATGTAATGATGGGTGAATTGTTATTATTATTGACCAAATTTGATTTGATGGTCTGAGAGTGGGAATGAGAAAGAGAAAGAGAAAGAGAATGAGAATGAGAATGAGAATGAGAATGAGAATGAGAATGAGAATGAGAATGGGAAAGAGAAAGAGAATCCGAATGAGAATGAGAATGAGAGGGGTAGTAAAATTGTGGAGCCGTGGCCGTGGTTGGAGTTGTCGCAGTAGTCGGAGGAGTCCCAATAGTGGTTAAATTTGTTCCTTGACTTCCGAAAGAATGTGTAGGTGGTAATGCGGGAATTGGTGGCATATATTGATTTGTGGTATGAAATGTATTATACTCTGGAAATTCATTCATTAAATTTCCCGGATTATTGGCAGTGAATCGTGGATGATGTGCTTGCTGTGATTGATTTGATTGAATTTGGGGATAATTTAGGTGTTGTATTGGTTGAGAAAGTCTTGATGATGTTGTTGATGTTGGTGTTGGTGTTGGTGTTGATGATGTTGGTGTTCCTATAGTGCCATTACCAAAATGATGAATTCCCGGCGATCGAGGTGCATATGATGATAATGATGATGTTCCCGATGAAGTGATGAATGGATGAAAGGTTTGCTGACGTTTATTGGGATTGGCATCAGGTGGTAAGAAACCTGATAAATCGGGCGATTGAGGTGTATAAGTTGAATCCATTTTTACCCAGCCAGGTATTCTTTTCTTAATTTCTCTCTTTTTCTTTTAATGAATTTTTCAAAGGAATAATTTTCGACGTTAATATAATTTCGGTATAGGGTAAAGTAAAATAAGAGGTCAAGAAGGTTAGATTATCCGATTTGATGCAAGGCTAATAACACGGTGGAAGATGGAAGGTGGAAGGTGGAAAGCGATAACCAGGGAAAAAGACTTTTAATGTTTGACCAATGATTGTAAAGTAGGAAGGAAGTCAATGAAAGAATAAATCTTGGTGTCTTCCTTTCGCCTTCTTGTTAAGGATTATCGATGTGAAGATCTCTTGTTTTCTGCCACTGTGAATGGTATCTAGTACGGACCAGACCGTGAGCTGGTTCCTGGAAGATTTATTAGATGTATATATACCTAGGTAGGTACACCGTATATATATACCGGTACCAGTACTGTACTATATTGTACTATATTGTACTATATTGTACTGAACTGTACTGAACTAAAGAAATAGATCTCGTTTGTTTGATGAACTCAATTCATTCGAGTTACGAGTACAAACAGTAGGAGAGAAATAGCTTTGGGCCAATCAGTCTTCTCTGGAGCTTCTCTCTTTTGATACTTATCATGTATCAACCTTTTGGATTTGAAGGAAAGGACCTCGGTTCTCTATAGGAGGCGAAAAGATTGATGAAGGTGTGCGTGCGTATTCTTTCTCCTTTGTTCTTCTCTTCCTCCTTTCTTTCCTGGTAGATATTGGATAGTGATTTCTTCATCAAAGACTTTCAAGGTTCTCCTTCATCAACTTGTGATGAGATTTCAAAGTTCGTTTATCGTAGAGCGGTGAAATGAGTGAGGCGATAACAGTAAAGAGGAAGTATGTAAGAGAGGAAGACCGAGGAAGGCTGGGCTGGTAAACGACAATAGCTCAAAGGAGAAGTCGAAAAGAATTTCGTATATTATTCAACACAATAAATTGATTGGTTCAAATGAAAGAATAAAAGGACAAATTCGTAGATGGATGAACTCTGATCAAATTCATATATTTTTTTCGGAATGTCATTGGTCGAGCATTCCGAACATTCCATAAAATTTCCTAAACAATGGAAGCGAGCCAGGTAAAGTTTCTTCAATGTGCGAGCGATGTGCTATGCTATGCGATATGCGAATCCGATATGTGATGTGCATGGAAATGAAAAGCTTTGGAGCCGGGTTGAAGTGGTCATTTATGTACACAATTTGAAAATGACTAGGATGAGAAATTTGACTAATTGTGAATAGGATTAGTATCATAATCATCCTCTGCTCAGAATATCATGTGGAAAACGCGGCTCAATTTATTGTTGATCAAAATGTTTACATCACAAAACATTCATCTAGACAGACGGGTGTGTATTTTGAACAACAAGTCAATCTTTTAACTTTGATGCACCTAACTCACGGAAATTGATATCTTTCTCTTACAAACTCTACGAACTCTACCAATCTGTATCATTCGAGAACAGGAGAAACATCCAGGATTACACAACAGTCTTTCAAATCTTGGCATTTCGATCTCGAAGCTTACACGAAAAACGCGTCGAGAACTGTGGCTTACTGAACAAACCCGTGGAAACAAACACCATTATGAGAAACCACCGAGTCTTTTCAAAAGTATCTGCCTACGATAAATCGGATCAGGCCATCTTTTGTTTCCCAGCTTTCGTTCTCGAAAATGAGTCGGAACTTTTAAGCACGTCGCCCTTTACTCATCCATAGGTACTCCCTTGATATGTACCATTGTATCTTCAAGCGACGATACCTCACCCTCAACCATACATTCCTTTGAAACCCTCCAGATATTGAATGATGATAACAAAGAGCTTGCCGGAGATCACACCCAAGTTCATAACCCAGCTACTCACCTAGCTTGTGGTTTTGACTCGGGTCATTCGTGATTATATGATGGAATTAACTTGATCTAATCTGACAATATTTCGAATTTGGGACTCTGAGTTTGACGATCTGGTGTTTTGATCATCCTTCCACAGTTGTTGATCACGGGAAAATGATATTGATAGTTTGCCTCTATACTCGATGGTCTCAGTAGTTTTGGTTGATCTCAATTGATGGAGTAGCCTTTGTGATTTCACCAAGTACCTAGCCTAGTATCTTTCACGACTATATTCTCTCTTCAATCATTCCACCATTCCACCATTCCTGTTAGTCGTGTTTCTCTCCCTGCAATCCAATGCAAACAATCGACTCGAAACAATCAAAGAATCATTTTGAAACTTCTCTCCACGATGTTTGCTTCATCCCATCCGATATTCTTCCATACTTTGTTGTTTTTGTTGCAGATCGTATTTTTCGCCGAGCCTCTAAATGTCACGGGATTGGACATAAACCGATTGAAGTTTTCAAAAGGTTCCAGACCATGAATGAGGCTTTGGCTTCATGATTCTTGAGTCGCTTTGAAGTTTCTCGAGAAATCGTGTACTGTTCAATCAAGCGGGACCACTCAAAGTCTTAATATTTTCTTCTCAATCTTGAGAAGGGTTCATCGTCCCGATTTGCCTAATAGAGAGATGCCGAACTGAAATCTGTATATTTCGCTAAGTTTAGTGACAAGATCTAATTCAGGTTTTTCTTCAAGCCTTCGACATCATACCTCGTGATTTAGGTTGGAAAATCACTGTTTTGTTGCACATCTAATAATTGAGGAAAATTATTTAAATCGTTAGAGACCTTTCCTTTTCATACTTTCCCAAATTTTAATCGTCCATTGAACCACGTGATTGTATTGGATAGTTGAAATTTCGGGCGTGTTGTTGTCATGTTTTATTTCATTGATGTCAAAGCCAATAACAGCCAATTGCAACAGTTGGATACAACAATGAAACAAGTATAATTAATTAATTGTCACATGAATATTGTTTTCGTACCTCGGTGCAGGAGCGGAATATCTCACAGCGGGGGGCGGAAATTCTCTTCACACATCTATCCGTCCGTACAGGTAAGCTAAACCTGACCACCACCACCACCACCACCACCACCCACACCCACCAGCACACAAAAATTCGCTTACACCACAGCCTTCCATCGACCCATCCATCCATCCATCCATCCATTCCAATAAAAACAACACACACATCCCGCAACAAAAAAAGCAACACAAACTGCCACGTATACACAACCCAACAGCCACGCTGAAAAATCATACGTGCAAATGGTACATGTAATAGGTGTTGGGAGTGTGCCGATTATGTGTACACCTTGCACACCGCTTCGTGAGTGGGAATTCCTCTACACCCTCACGAATTTGAGATGTGCAACAAATTGTGTTGATGGAAGGAGGGGCTGTGGGTTTGCGGAGAGGAGGAGTGGATAGGGAGAGGGGGTGGGGGAGGGGGTGGATGGGTAAGGGGTGATTTTGGTGATGGGATGTGTGTGGTGCATATATGTATGTATGTGTGTATGTATGTATGTGTGTGTGTGTATGTATGTTGAGGCATTCTGAATTTTTATTCATTTGTTTATATACGTATATATATAAATCGATTTTCTATTTGTTAATATAATAAACTTTATTTTCTTTTACGAATCTTCGAACTAACTCACCCTTATTTATCCTTATCCACATTTACACACTGGTGACTACGAGGTAGATAATCAATATTCCTCATCACAGCAAACAAACGAACAACACAGAATCTCATAACCTCATCATCCCAAGCTGAAAATCCAGCCACATCTACCTACCCATGCTTGGCTTCGGTCGGCTTATTTGGGCGCACCATCCATACCTCGGATCCCTCAACCCCATCCCCAAATGGTTGCGGTAAATATCGCGGTTGGGGATTTGCGGATTTCCGAGGCGGTGTCGCGTTACGTTGGGTTGGGTTGGATTACTTGTGGAGGTAGATGAGTAGGTATGTAGGTAGGTATGTGTTCGTTGTTACTTGTATCTTTGTTTACGATTTTGTTGTTTTTTATTTTTCTAAAAAACGGAAAAGGTTGGTTTTGATTTTGGGTATGGGTTTGATTTGACCTGTGATCTGCGTTTAATTTGATGTAGTAGTTAATCTATCTGTACAACATGAGTAACTGTTTATATCCTAGGTACCTAGCTGAGGAATGGTATTTTTATATCTCTCTCATATATGTAGATATCATTTAGAAGCAGAAATACACACATCGTATCATTTGACTTGACTTGAATTAAATACCTAGATATGTAAATATCTAGAGTAAGAATATCGCTTGATAATCACAAGTACCTGGTATATCAAACACATAGCTACCTAAATAATATATCAACACAACATCCTCTTCTCATTAGCATCTTCTCAGATAAGACTCAGACACTTTCTCTATACATAGTTGAGTTACTACAGCGAGAATGGAAATATCGCCTGGGTGTATGTATGTATACTAGTCGATGACATATATGCAATGTATAATGATGTGCTTGTGCATCTAAGTAGATACTCGATTCGTAAATAACAAATATCATTTCACATTACCCATCTCCAAATATCACGACATTGGAATTGAAAATTTAGGAATCCTTTTTGTACGCCACACTTAAATCGCTCCGTACTAGGTACTCAAGGAAAACGAATCTCACATCACATCACCACATCACCACAAATCTCACAAATCGACACGCTCATTCTCACTAAGTATCAAATATAAAGTAATCAGTCTAACTAATCCCCCTCCACCAATCACACCTCAAGCGACACAAAGTGACAAAATCTACCTAACTGTTGCACATCTTCTGCACGTACCCGGCTATGAAGCGAGATGCATGAGTATGTATATATTTCTTGCATTACATTGCATGGCATTACATTACTCTTTCCTATTCTGTGGATGCATGTCACACTAATAAGAGGATAGGATATGTTTGATATGACATGACATGCCATGAGAGGAATTGTTGCATATCTGAATTCAGGAATGATCTCCTATTGTCGTACTTGTACACTTTTCTATCCTAATACGTCGATTGAATGCATCGCATATAC